TTGGTTATAGTCTTAAGCCTTTTTAAAAAGTCGAGAAAAAAGCTAAGAGAAAGTTAAAAAAAAAAAGTATTTGAAAAAATTAATTTGCTGAACGGCAAAGTACTCTAAGGCCATTACAAATATATTGTTTTCTTTAATTTCAGAAAAATTTTATGCCTTACATTTTATGCCATTAGATGATTATAAATTGCTTTATTGTTCTTTAGAAAGTTTTAAAGAAACAATTAATATCTATCTAGAAAATCGAGAAATATGTAGATTAGTTGTTATAGGAAGCCACTCATTATCCGCATTAGATAGAAATAGAGGTGACTCCTCTTTACAGATCAAGAAGCAAATCACTGAGATTTCTATCGCTCGGTGTCGGAGGTTCTTGATAGAAGATCATAAAGATCGTAAAAAAAAAAAGACAAAAAGCCATAAGCTCGTTACAAGAAAATATTTATAAAGAAAAGACAAAATAAATTGGTATCATATGTGTGTGTATATATATAGTACATGAAATTGAATATTACTAAATAATAATTAATAAATGTAATTATATATCTCACTTTCGTAATCATGTTTAATATAGTGCACACAATTACACAAGTTATGAAGCGAGATAAATGTTTTGTTTCTTATCTAGATGATAGCAATAAGAGTATACATCTACAGTTAGGGTTGTCAATAAATTGAATTTTGATCTGAATTCGACGAAATTAATGGGAGATGGATTTAGGGTCTCAGTCCGATAACCAAATCAAGATCTGAATCCGATAATTCGTTAACTAAATGGGTCAAGTATGGATATAGGTTAATCCAATCCGATAACAATTTGATCCGATTTGTTATAAATAATTGAGTTGGTAAAATATTTTTATGATATATTATTTGTCACTAAAATAAATAAATTAAAAATTAAAAAGTAATCAAATTCAAAACATAAAGAATTTGAAAATTTTATAATTATTAAACATGTTTAAGAATGGGAAAATTTGAAAAAAAAAATTGATTTCAACCAATGTTTTAAAAATTGACCCAGACATCGACCCGGAAAAGGAAGAGGGTCAATGATCAAAATGTCGAACCGGGATCGAATCGGTATCGAACCGGTTATCAAATTGAATAAATAACTATACAAATTTATGTGTAAAATATTATAAAAACAATATATTTTTTAATTTTAGTTTACTAATTTAAAGTAAATAAATATCTGCATTTTTCTTAATTAAATTTATTATTGTAATTTATTTTACAGATTCAATAACTAATAATTAATATGTAACAAATAATTTGATTTATTAATGGCATTTATATTTAGAATTGAAATTCAATTTTAATTTTTCTCATATCAAATGTCAATAGAAAACTAGAAGATGGTCTCTCCTTTAAAAATGAAGATCATGACGTTAGAAGTCACTATTGGGCTTGCTAGTAAAAATAGGTGGCCCTCAAGTTAGTTAAAAAAATTTTAAAAAACATAAAATCATTCTATTTGGATCCGATTTTTCAGTTTACGGTTAACCGGCCGGTTTAACGGTTTATTTGACGATTTTCAATTTTTCGTTTAAT